TAGCTAGTTTTTTTTTTTTTTTTTTAAATAACTAGAAAGATGTCTAGAGACATTTGTTTTTTGTCGACGCTTCAAAATTTGGCGAAAATGCGACACAGCATTATCATTTAATAAATTTGCAACGCGCATAGCCACTTCCTTATTTGGGTGATGCTTCTCGGTATAAGATGCAACAGTTTACCATGCTTTCAGCATTTCTCTTATTTCGCCAGAAGATTGTTGCTTTTCTGTTACCTCCTCCTCTGACAAACTTTCCTTCAAAACTTCTTGCTGTGAAACACAATGCAACTCCATAGGCTCTTGAATGGTAAGCTCTTGGCTATGCTCTTCCACAAGCTCTTCGATATCACTGTTTTCCACCTACAATCCCATGACAGTGGCCAAAGACACAATCTCGTTGACTGCAGGTTTCACAGATACTGTCTCGAACTCCTCAAAGTCACAAATCGACAACGCTCTCCGGCCAAAGCTTCTTCCAAGCAGAAGTTAGGGTTCTCTTGGTAACCCCTTCCCACGCCTTGTCGATCATCTTGAGGCAGGCAACGATATGGCAGTGATTTTTCCAAAACTCTCTGAGAGTGAGGTTGTTCCCTTCAGCCACCTGAAAACAATGCTTAAAGAGTGCTTTAGTGTAGAGCTTCTTAAAGTTAAAAATAACTTGCTGGTTCACGGGCTGGAGTAACGGAGTAGTGTTGGGAGGCAGAAACTGGATCTTGGAGGATTCATGCACATGTATCATAATATAAAACAAGTTTGAGAAAATGTATGATCACAAGCGACACTACGATGCTACTGGAACAAGTGCTAAACACAGACTGATGTAACATGCGAACAATCCAGGACTTTCCCTCTCCTCGCCACTCGTTATGCAAGTCATTCTTTTAACAATTTGTTTTGCTCGTTATGCGAATTACTCGTTATGAGAGGTGCTCGTTAAGCGAGTTTCTACTGTATATTGATACTGTGCTTCCTCGAAAGACTCACATTGCCGAATCAGTATCACATGAAATCATATATTTATATATATATATTTTTTTGTTAGTTGCGTATCCTTTACAGGACGTTGCAGAACCAACCCTAACAGTCCCTGGCTGTTGTGTGGTTTCTCTAGGCAAATATACATCCAATAGTTTGCCATTGTTTTCTGGACCGTCGGTTTTCTTAATACCACTGTCGAAACCAACGCAAGGCGCGTGGCCTGCAGCTGAGATCGAACCCGGCATCCCGATATTACGAAGCGTTCGCATCGACTTAGTCACAGAGCCGACGAAATCATATATAACCAAATCAAATCACCAACATAAGTTTTGTCATAGTTTAATCGTTTTTTTTTTTTTTTTTTGGAACAAAAGGAGTCAGTCTTGATTTGTGTCTTACTTTTGATAAAAACGATTGCTTGAGAAAGCACTCTCAACACTGGCTACACCACTTATAACCTCGCCCCAATATAAGACACATTTAAAAGAAAGGTTATTTTAAAGCCCCACCCCGGTTGTAGTCGGATGCTCTAATATAACCCAATGGTTGAACGGGGTTTCTGGGTGTTACTCCTTTGAAATGGGGCACTTTGTGTCACTCGCTTATTGTGCAGTCCTGTTGGAGTTGAGTCGCACTCACTACATCACTCAGTATATCTGTGCATTTCCGCTAAGCAAAGACTTCAGTTGCATCATCAGATGCCTTTTCTTAACTTTGAAATTTATGTGGCATCGTTACTCGCTTAATCAGCTTCTCTAGCTGCTTTGTGCATCGTTATGCTGGTGTATACTTTGGTCAGTATTGCTTGTCAAATTCCTTCTTCATCACAGGCAGTCATCACATCATCCATTGCAACGAAACGTTCAGAATCTGTTCTTTCGAACTGTGCCGATTGCGATGGAATGTCCGATAGGTCTAAGCCGTCATGCCCTAGGGTTGTGACAGATCCAGCTCTCTCGGAACATTTCTTACTCATTTCCGGCTGAAATTTATTCCGAGCATAACTGGTTTAGAGGACAGCATGGTTTAGAGAACAGCATCCAGAGTCCTTGACTGGTGCCCCGGATAAACACAAAAATATGGGGGGGGGGGGGAGGAGGGGGGGGGGGAAGCATGACCTTCAAGACACGAAGCAAACGCCTTAACTTTTTAGCCGCAGGAGAAAGAAACATATTAGCATCCCGTACCCAGTCTGTTTGTGGATTTTTAGAAAGAAAACAATGCCATAAACATCCTCAGGACTCTCTCGGAAAGAGCTATAATTTGTTTGTTTTAGTATCCAGAAGCCATGAGTTGTTAACCCTTAGGCTCGGTATTATGAATATCGCAACCTTTCGGCCTTGATTCCATTGTAAATACCGTAAATCTTGGAGAAATGTGGCTTTCCTGCCTACCCCCGGGATTGAACCCGGACCACAAGGAGTTCGTCACCTGGTCTCGGCGCAATCCGGTTTAGCCAACTACGCTAGAGAGCCGGGCGAAAGAGCTATAGAAGTAAAAAAACGATCTTTACTTAAGCTTCATTGACTATACGAAAGCCTTTGATTGTGTGAAACATGAAGAAATAATCAAACTATTTGAAAAGTTAAACAGCGATGTGTAACATTTACGAAGTATAAAGAACATATACTGGCAGCAAACTGCAGCTGTAAGAATTAAACCCATTTGGGAACTTATCAGAGCATAAAGAAGGGAGCAAGACAAGGACGCGTACCGTCACCCAATTTGTTTTTATTATACAGTGAATACGTAATTGAGATGTATCATGTATATGCCATGGTGTTTGGTGGTCATAACAAAAACAACCTGCGTTATGCTGATGATACCGTCTTGATAGCGACATGTCAAAAAAGAACTACAGGAATTGATAGACGGTGGTGGTAGAAAGTGATAAAATGGGCCTTAGTTTGAATAACGGGAAGACAGAAGGAATTGTGATTTCCAAGTAAATAACAGTGCCTACATTTATAATAAAAGTCAAAGGCGTTAATTTAGGACAAGTACAGAAATTTATGTATCTAGGCTCATGGACAACATCCTATGTAAGATGTATCACAGAGATAAAGTACAGAATAGGACAGGCCAAAACGGCCTTTTATGAAGTGAACATTTTATGCAATAAATCTATATCATTGGAGGCTGGGGAAAAGAATTCTCGCATGCTATATAGAGCAAGTTTTAACATACGGCTGTGAATCCCCGACAATTAATAAAGAAGCCGAAATATATCTTGAGGCCTTGGAGATGCGGTTTTACAAAAGAATCCTTAGAATTCCTTAAACAGCTAAGAATAGTAACTCTAATGTTTTGAAAGAAGTAGGTGCTCGAAAACAGCTTATCACAAACATCAGAAAAAAGACAGTCATCATTAGTTGGTCATGTTATGAGAAGATGGCAAATGGAACATGTTGTAACAACTGGAAAGATTTGTTGAAGGAGAGACGGACGAAAACAGCGCGAGAAGATTTTTGACAGTCTTTTGTCATGGAATGAAGGGATGTCAACACTCGAACTGATACACGTAGTTTCGGATCATGGAGAGGCATGATCGCCCACGTCAGTCGGCAACGCACTTGATGATGATGCAGTCTATTACACACTGTCACTATCGAACGAAAGGATTTCCATTTCTTCACGTTTCCCTGCTAGCGGCATTCTCATTAGTCGGTGGGCTTTGAGCATCAGGTGTCCATCTTCATTTTGGTCGATGTCAGCCTCTTCCCCGCAGGAATCACGCCATTCATTATTGTTCTGTCTAAACCAGTCTGGCGCTAAATATGGAAAAAGAATTCCCAGACTTAATGCGATTTATCAGCCAGATTTCTTCGATCATCAAGTTCTCTGGAATATCTGATGTTTTTCTTTTAACTCACGCAGTTCTAAGGGAAACAGAGGAAGAGTAGTGGCTAGAAACACTTCTGCTGGCTTGAAGGTCTTGGGTTCAATTTCGCACTGAGACAGGCTCCCCCCCCCCCCTTTTTTTGTGTTTCAAAATTGACTTTGGCTGCGAGGTTGACCCAGCCTTAAGGGTATACCAGGTAATATCATAGGGTGCAACACTGTTCCGTGTGTGTTGACTAGCTCACTCATCTATTACAGATTGTTACTTTTTATTTTTTATTTTTCTTGGCTTTGCCAGATCTGAGGGCCAAGACATAAGGTAGCCACTGACTAGGGCATGTGAGTTCAATATTTCAATCCCTGGCAAATTTCACTTTATTTCACTAAATTTTTAGATTTTCCTACTGAAACTGATAAATGTTTTGTACTGTTCCCGAAGTAGTTAAAATTACAACACCGCGAGGCAGAAGGAATTTAAGTAACAATTGGGACAAAGTAGTGGTGGCTGAATCGGGATAATGTGGCACTTGGAGTCGAGATAAGTATGTTAGCAGGAGTTAGGTCGTAACTGTGTAATGGGGGTGTGGGGGTGGGGGTCGGTGAGGGGGGGGGGGGGGTCAAAAAGCATTTGCAAATTTGACGAACAACACAATTCATCATTGTATTAAGTATTCTGTGTAAATAAATAAACTCACTACACATCGACACATGTCAGAAACACGTGCAAATGTCCGGGTTATATAAATAAAGCAAAGAATCATCTTGAATACAAATTAAATGTTACCATAGTTACCTACATGATAACACAAGTTGACAGTTATAGATTTTTATTAAAATAAATGTTAAACCCAAAAATATGAGTGCAAAATATAGATCAAGTAATATGTCCATTATTTTATAACTAACTCCTCACCTTTCTCTTTCATCATCATCTTCTTCTTATTCTTCTTCATCCTCATCATCTTTACCATTCAATTTAACACTGACCCTCAACCAGCTGGCTTCTATCCTCTTTTTCTTTGTCTTTTCTGCAGCTCCTGCAAATGTTATACATAGCTAATACTTTATCTCACAACCACACGCTAGGTGAAATTGTTTATCTTGTGTGAATATACCACATCAGTGATGAGACGAACAAAGACATGTACATCGGATACTAGAATTCCTCTCCGCGAGAAAAGTTACTTCAGTCGACAGATGAGAACTGGCACGTGGGAGTGGTGGAGGATGTAGTCACTGACGCTCCCCAGCATAGTCCTTCGGAATGTGCCCAGTCCCCGAGTACCTGGAATAGACAAGGTGTAAAAAGTTAGTGACCAAAAAATTCCCCCCCCCCCTTCCATTCGTGGGACCCAGGGCCCTAGTCTGGGGGTCAAAGATCCGCCCCCAACCCAACAAACATGTCAAAGGCGACTAATTAGGAATATTTTCTAAGAAGTCAGGTTGCATCTGCAGTGGGTCTATTCCATTTAAGCTGACCGTCGTTTCATTGAACGAAGTTTTTTCGCCAGGGACAGTAGATGAGATCGTTTATTCTATACATTAGAGTCCTATGTAGTCACTTCATAGTTAGAGCCTATCTGTGTATGTGTACTGTGTTGTCCTTTATGTGATGATGAAGGCTAATCGCCGCAACGTTCTTTTTTTGTTTATTGTGATCGATTTTGTAAAGCTAACATAAACTAATTGTTGTTTCTTACCAACTTTTTCTCTTGCCTATAATTTTCAACTCCTTATAAAAACTTGAAATGTCTGACCACGTTATTGTACGCACACAAACCGGTGAAACATAAACTTTTAGGAACAAGTAAGGAACTCAGGCCCAGCTACACACTTACAAGTGACGAAGTCGGGCCAGGACACTGTGATAAAAAATGTATTCATTCATGCGTATTAACCTCTGAGACGCGAAAGTTTGAGTGACACGGATGTCAGGTTGTTGCCACGTTGTATTTTCTCGACGGTCTTACCGGCGACAACGCGTGCTCTATATTACAGAATGTAAGCGGTTTTAACGACCCTATAGCATGTACAACTGGCCCTAACCTCACCCCCTACCCCACACACTAAACCTAGGTCCCAGGAGTGAGTGCATTCTACGCCCCTTTAACGTAGACCAGCCCGAGCAAGCATCAATGAAAGGTCACCTAGTGTGTATTTGGGTGTAGCTGGGCCTGAGCTCGTTAATTCTTCCGGTCTGATCAAGCATCAACGAAAGGTCACCTTGTGTGCAGCTGGGCTTAAGTTCGTTACCTGTTCCAACTTTTCATCACACTCAAACGCCAGACAGTCTGGTTGAGATAAAGGTCATATGCAACAGCCTAGACACACACACACGCACCCAAAAAGAAAGCATGCACATACACTCTACACACATAAATACAGAGACATGCACACAAAAAACACATCTACTCCCAGCTAACTCCGTGTGTAAATGGATGCTTCTCTTCTTAGGTTCTGAGGCTCCAAGGAGGTGGGTGGGGGGGGGGGGGGGGGGGGTGGCAATAAATTCACTGCCCTCTAGCAAGTATAAAAAAAAAAAGACGACTAGTTAGAGATTTGCTGAAATCAGATGTACTAGGTCAAAAGGCACATATCGCAACTTAGCTATAAACCACAACACAACGTGCCAGCCGTCCTTCAAATGAAATTAGTAGTAACAGCAGAAGCAGCAGCAGCAACAGCAGCAGCAGCAGCAGTAGTAGTAGTAGAAGAAGTAGTAGTAGTAGTAGTAGTAGTAGTAGTAGTAGTAGTAGTAGTAGTAGTAGTAGTAGTAGTAGTAGTAGTAGTAGTAGTAGTAGTAGTAGTGGTAGTAGTAGTAGTAGTAGCAGTAGTAGCAGTAGTAGTAGTAGTAGTAGAAGAAGATGAAGAAGAAGAAGACGACGACGAAGAAGAAAAGGAACAAGAAGAAAAAGAAGAAGAAGAAGAAGAAGAAGAAGAAGAAGAAGAAGAAGAAGAAGAAGAAGAAGAAGAAGAAGAAGAAGAAGAAGAAGAAGAAGAAGAAGAAGAAGAAGAAGAAGAAGAAGAAGAAGAAGAAGAAGAAGAAGAAGAAGAAGAAGAAGAAGAAGAAGAAGAAGAAGAAGAAGAAGAAGAAGAAGAAGAAGAAGAAGAAGAAGAAGAAGAAGAAGAAGAAGAAGAAGAAGAAGAAGAAGAAGAAGAAGAAGAAGAAGAAGAAGAAGAAGAAGAAGAAGAAGAAGAAGAAGAAAAGAAAAGTAAGGAAAGGACAACTTTCCACACCTTATGCATGTTGGGCACATAGGGCTAGACCTATAATTTACAGACCGATCAACACTTGGTGGGTGATATGGTCAACATCACATGGGTCACCTTTACTTTCCAGGACTACAACTGGAGACCACTCAAGGCTGGGTCGACCTGGGAGTTAAGGTTATTTAAAAAAAAAAAAAAATGTTGGCTCGCGTCTAGTCGCTACACCCCTGCGACTACCTACTTTCCAAATTATTGTAGGTATTTTATTATATTTCTAAAAGCATGGAGATCTCAAGAGAGGAAAAGAAACATCAGATCATGGTGGGACAGTATGCACTGGAGCTGTAACCGGATTAAGACTGAGCTGGCGACATAAACAGCAGCTGCTGGGAGACTCTTCCAGGCCATAAACAAAAGAGAATTTGGCAAGAGGACGACAATGACTGTTTATAGCTCTACCTATGTGCCAGTCCTGATCTACGGTAGTGAGTCATAGGCAATGACAACAGCTTACAGAAGCCAGCTTCAGGCCCCAGAAAACAGATATCTGAGAAAGGTGGTCCAAGTGACAAGAAGGGACAAAATCAGCAATAAGACAATACGTCAATGATATCCAACCCTTACAAACCCGAGTGAATCACCCACAGTTACGATGGTTTGGACATGTATGCAGAATGGGAGAAAATCGGCCACCATGGCAGACATAGGAGGCTAAGAACCAAGGAACCAGACCTCTAAGGCAACCCAGGGTCCGCTGGGAAGACAAAATCCGACAGTCCCTAACTAACAGAGGACTGTAATGGAACAAAGCCAGAAAGAAAACTACTGACAGAGACATCTGGCGATCTCTATGGCAAACCTCTACACTCCCCCCACCGCTTCAAAATTGTCTATATGTTGACACCCCTGCAGCCATAGAATGGGCTATCTACAGCTCAATCAAACAAATGTTTCAGCAAGCCCATCTTCGTGCACGCCGCGATATTCCAGTTTTCTGGCAGCGTTGCTAATTATCCTAAAAATTACCCTGGATAAAGGGGACATTTATTTTTATTTCCGTATCTCCCAATTTGCCAGATGTCAGAGAGATAACCTACATAATTACAGAAATTTATTTGATGAGTGAGCACCCTAATGTCTGTCTATTATCTTGGAAGACTAAGTGAAGAGAGCCCTATTATGTCTGTCTTTAATCTTGGAAGAGTAAGTGAAGAGAGAACTATTATGTCTGTCTATTATCTTGAAAGACTAAGTAAAGTGAGCACCATTATGTCTGTCTATAACCTTGGAAGTCTAAGTAAAGGACATTTTTTACGACAATGGCGTTAGGGCTTCTGATGCCAGAAATTTGAATACATTTAAAAACAATATAGAATAGAATTGTATGGATAACCACTTGTGTAAAAAAAAAAAACACACACACACACAGATGATGGTCAACATTTATAGGTCACAGATGATGGTCAACATTTATAGGTCACAAATGATGGTCAACATTTATAAGACACAGATGATGGTCAACGTTTATAAGACACAGATGATGGTCAACATTTATAAATCACAGATGATGGTCAACATTTATAGGTCACAGATGATGGTCAACATTTATAGGTCACAGATGATGGTCAACGTTTATAAGACACAGATGATGGTCAACATTTATAAATCACAGATGATGGTCAACATTTATAGGTCACAGATGATGGTCAACATTTATAGGTCACAGATGATGGTCAACGTTTATAAGACACAGATGATGGTCAACATTTATAAATCACAGATGATGGTCAACATTTATAAGACACAGATGATGGTCAACATTTATAAATCACAGATGATGGTCAACATTTATAAGACACAGATGATGGTCAACATTTATAAGACACAGATGATGGTCAACATTTATAAATCACAGATGATGGTCAACATTTATAGGTCACAGATGATGGTCAACATTTATAAGACACAGATGATAGTCAACATTTATAAATCACAGATGATGGTCAACATTTATAAGACATAGATGATGGTCAACATTTATAAGACACAGATGATGGTCAACATTTATAAATCACAGATGATGGTCAACATTTATAAGACACAGATGATGGTCAACATTTATAAATCACATATGATGGTCAACATTTATAAGACATAGATGATGGTCAACATTTATAAGACACAGATGATGGTCAACATTTATAAATCACAGATGATGGTCAACATTTATAAGACACAGATGATGGTCAACATTTATAAATCACAGATGATGGTCAACATTTATAAGACACAGATGATGGTCAACATTTATAAATCACAAATGATGGTCAACATTTATAAGACATAGATGATGGTCAACATTTATAAATCAGAGATGATGGTCAACATTTATAAATCACAGATGGTGGTCAACATTTATAGACACAGATGATGGTCAACATTTATAAGACATAGATGATGGTCAACATTTATAAATCACAGATGATGGTCAACATTTATAAGACACAGATGATGGTCAACATTTATAAATCACAGATGATGGTCAACATTTATAAGACATAGATGATGGTCAACATTTATAAATCACAGATGATGGTCAACATTTATAAATCACAGATGATGGTCAACATTTATAAGACACAGATGATGGTCAACATTTATAAGACACAGATGATGGTCACCATTTATCAGACACAGATGACGGTCAACATTTATAAGACACACATGATGGTCAACATTTATATGACACAGCTGATGGTCAACATTTAGAAGAAACAGATGATAGTCAACATTTTTAAGACACAGATGATGGTCAACATTTGTAAGACACAGATAATGGTCAACATTTATAAGACACAGATAATGGTCAACATTTATAAGACACAGATGATGGTCAACATTTATAAGACACAGATAATGGTCAACATTTATAAGACACAGATGATGGTCAACGTTTATAAGACACAGATGATGGTCAACATTTATATGACACAGATGATAGTCAATATTTATATAACACAGATGATAGTCAACATTTATAAGACATAGATAATGGTCAACATTTACAAGACAAAGTCTACGCCCGTTTTATATACAAATTACCCACTGAAGGTTTTGAATATACGACCATTCATGCTTACTGTGTCAGCCATTGCGGCTCCAATTAGAACAGTGGTTTTTAACTTCCACCCGCCCCGCCCCTTTTTTTCAGAGGGTACCCCAAATGCATGCATGGAAAGACCACACCCTCCCACCCCTTTTGCACCTCGTCCCCCCCCCCCCCCACGCCCTCAACTTGAAAAAACACATGTGATTAAAACAGGAAAGGGTTCTTGTATGTTATATCCCCCCAACAGAACAGTCTAATATTTTAGGTAGTGATAGGATGGGATGGGGAATTCCCGGTACATTACGTGGCGCAGTGTGTTAATTTGTATGGGAGATTCCCGCAGAGTGAATTGTTTTGTTTTGTGTCATCATCATCATTATCATCAACCACTTCTAAACGCACTGGATCGCAAATTATTCCTTCCCACGGCGCTCAACGGCAGATGTAGATAATAATGATGACAAAAAACAAATTCACTGGATCGCAAATTATTCCTCCCCACGCCGCTCAACGGCAGAAGTAGATAATGATGATGACATAACACAAATGCACTAGATCACAATTTATTGATCCCCACGCCGCTTAACGGCAGAAGTAGTTGATGATGATGATGACAAAACACAACAAACAATACACTTTTCGCCATGTAATGTACCGGAAATTCCATATTCCATCTTATCACTGGTTGAAATGTCTATTTTTGGAACACCCCTAAGATATTAGACTGTCCCGTTATTTTTTAAATGGGAGGGGGGGGGGGGGGAGATAACATACAAGCACCCAGGAAAGACAAAAAGAAAACCCCAAGCACGAGTAGCAAGAAATATATTTTTCTTTTAATTACATTTGTAACGGTAGATGTACAACTGCCTTTTGCTTTATAAATAGTACATTTTTGTAATTATTGATAAATAAGCTAAATAAAAATGCTAGTATCACAAATTGATTCAAGAACAAAAGCAGTTTCACAAGTGCTTGACACCCCTTTTGAAACTTCACTGCGCCACCTAGGGTCGGGTCATCCAGGTTAAGAATCCCTGCATTCAGGAATAGTCGTAGAGAAACCAAATAGATGAGTCTAAAAAAGGGAGGGGGAGGGGGAGGAGAGATGGGCACTCACCTGTTACAATATAAGCAGCATTTATTCTCTCCGCGTACTTGCAGATGGCGTGCCCTGGATTTCGATCTTCCAGCGCCACAAATTCACCGTTCATCTGTTGACAGAAGTCATGGTAACGTCAGACAGGGTGTATAAGACACTGCTGCAGGGGCCATTTTTGTCTGGCATGAGGTAATCAACCATATTGCTTGTAATCATCTACTTCTCAAAAACAGAACACAGACTTTTCCGTTGGCTCTTTCAATCCCAGGCAATAGTTTGTCGACACGGTTCTTAATTTATAACGTACCCCAAACACGAATTCCCCGTGGGAAATCCACAGCTGACCTGACAGTCCATTATTTAAAGGGGTGGAAGTGTGCTTTTTTTTTTTTTTTTTTTTGGAGTGTTCATCTAGTGTCTTCTAATTCTAACCCTAACCCTAACCCTAAACTTTGCTGTAGATAAATCGAGAGAAACTACAACCTGAAAACCCTAGAATTTATTGGGAATGTCTCCCGTGACGTTGTCGTGACGTCAGGGGTAAGTAATAAATTAAGTACCGTCGACACTTTTGTACTACAGTTTGTGTGTATAATAGAGTAACAACAACTTTTCAGTTTTTCAGTAGCAATAGTAAAGTTAGTTAGTCTTTCGTCTGGAGTTTAGGCTGGTGCATCAGGCAGAGGTCATAGGTCAGAGGTCATAACTTTCCATGTCTGGCTGTTCGTTGACCCCTGTTTTAGGTCTTTGATGTTCGTTAAGCCCATGGTTGAGCCTTCCCTGTTAATGAGTTAACTCAGGGTTTCTCTTTGCCTTCTCCCTTTTCCCCCCTTCCTTCCGGTGTCCATATGTGGGCTTGATTTGTGTGTGCGTGTGCGTACGTGTGTGTGATTTTTTTCAACGGATCAACATCATGGTACAATGGTAGTAACCCATAAGTGCTCCGTTCCACTTCTAACTCAAGCCTGAGTCCGAAGAATCTCATCGCAGTGCACGAACTCCGTAACACCGGCGAGAATCCTGGAATACTTTGGGCAGACTCCAAATTTTGCACCGGAAGCGCCATTAGGCTACCCTTTTCGATTTCCAAATGCCAAGAGATTTTTTACGTGCGCAGCAATACACACGGGTGTATCTTACTACCTAGAAACCAGGAGAAATAACTAGAAGTCCATTAAAAAACCCAGCTCTCACTGCGGCGTGAACCCGGGATCTCCAGCACTTAAGGCGGATGCTACGCATAGAGACCACTCAGACCTTCCCACCACCCCCTACCCACCCACCCGGGAGCTTGATATGGCGTTTTGGGCAGCTTGTACCGGAACACGAATGGTTAGAATGGTAGTTCACGCACAGCAGTAACAAATTAACTCTTAAATGGTGTAACAGGTTCACTATACTTGATCAGACCTTCACAGTTACTATTGAACACGTTAACAAATAAAGACCACATACACACGCCTAAACATCTACAAAGTATATGATGTCGCTAAATAGTTATTGACAGAACGGAACATTGACATACAGGCCGCCTTTACTTCTCAGATTATTTTCTGACACCGAGTAGAGAAAGATTCAAACACGTAGCCACCAATACAAAGGAAGAAAAAGCGGGACACATCGCCAGAGCTAGGGGTTCGTGCTTTGTGTGACTCTCTCTCAGCAGGCGGCTAGCCGGTCTGCGAGGAGAGACAGAGCCATATCGGATAACACTCGGTGCAATGAAGTTGATACTCTCAACGTGAACTCTTTCATTTCTACAAGGTGCTAGCTAATCTGCGAGGGGAGTTACAATTGGCAATATTCAGCTGATGGGTATACTACTTCCACAGGGGCTTGATATACAACACTCGCACACACACACAAAAATGTTGTCAGAGTTTTTCAGAATCCCTAACTTAACATAAGATGTAACAACGTACGTAAGATATTGACTGGTACACGTGGAAAAAAGTCAGTTATGCATGTTGCATTGTTTGGGATAGAAATAGCCACGGCTAGCTCCAGATGTTTATAGAGTTTACAGCCAGTGTTCGCGAAGCAAAAGCCAGTTTACAAAAATTAACACAGGCCGTACAACTGCAAATATGCAAAAAAAGTCGATGAGCAACCAAAAGTTTCCGCAAGAGTTTACAGCCAGTGTTCGCGAAGCAAAAGCCAGTTTACAAAAATTAACACAGGCCATACAACTGCAAATATGCAAAAGAAGTCGATGAGCAACCAGAAGTTTCCGCAATAGTTTACAGACAGTGTTCGCGAAGCAAAGCAAAAGCCAGTTTACAAATATTAACACAGGCCGTAAAACTGCAAATATGCAAAAGAAGTCGATGAGCAACCAGAAGTTTCCGCAAGAGTTTACAGCCAGTGTTCGCAAAGCATAAGTCAAATGGTTAAGGATTAATATTATTAGTGTACTGCTACAACATATAATTATACTGTTAGTCAACAATCAGTAAAGAGGCAAAGAGTGACTTGCTGTGAGAGGTTAGTTAGTAAATTAAATATTTTTTTCATCCACTTACCTAGAGCTCTGAAATATCTTGACACAATTTATCCACAGTGTGGTTGCACCATTTATGCACAGTCAATATGAAAGCAATAGTTTTCTTTAAACACAAGATAGTTTGCACCTGACAACTGTCGATATTCTCCAGATATGTCTTCTAAATTACCTGTTTGTATTATCCCTAAAAGTAAGATTTCTACATTTAAAGAAGAAAAGTGATAAACAGTTCCCAAAAATCCGAACTACTGACTAGAAACAGTGACACTGACACACACATCACAACACGACTGTCTTCCGTGAATTAAAATTAAAATTGCTGTATATCCACTTCACAATATCTATTTGTAGATTTGTAATACGAATACGTTTAGAACACAGGACTTTGTAAGCATATTAATATGTCACACAATGCAACATGGAAACGCTCCCAGTAACCAATTTTCGAGGGGGACTCCTCCAAAATGTACCGTGATTCAGTTGTAGGGCCTTATAAAAATCTGGAGCTGGCCGTGGAAATAGCTTACTTTGACAACCCCTTTTTCCCAGTATTAAAAATAATTGAGTAAAACAAAGAGAAGAAAAAGAAAACAAAAATCACAACTGCTGTTTATAAGAATTTGGAGAAAAAAAAACAACATCATGAATTTTAAATCAGAGTGTCAAATAACTATTAGGGAAAAAAAAATCCCTTGTAACTGATAATTTACTGTCCAAATATTCATGTGATGGCTGACATTTTTTTTTTTTTTGGATGATGTCTGCTATTTTTGGTTTGGTATTGGACACGGTTCAGACACTCAGTTTGTAGACTTGACGCAACAGTTGATTTGCTTAGGCTCTTCAGTAGAACAATCTGTACTGCAGTGGATTCCAGGTCACTGTGGCTTGGAAGGCAATGACATAGCGGACATATTGGCCAGAAGCGGCAGTGACATGGTACAACCAAATAGCGACTTAACCCACCAAGAGATGAAAACACTAATACAAGCTAGTATCCAAGAAAGGTGGCTGGATACCCACACCAGATTTTCTCCCCAAGACTCACTTCATCGCCTCTCTAGAGAGGGACAGTGTATTATATTCAGACTAAGGACAGGGCACAACAGATTTCGTCAACATATGTTCAAAATTTTTGGTGTAGGAAAATCGGAAACGTGTCCCTGCAGCGTGGCTCCCGAAAATGCTGAGCATGTGCTCCAACACTGTCAACTGTATGCTGACAACAGAGACGCAATCTGGTCTATTCCAACCACACTGAAGACAAAACTGTATGGTACACGAGAGGATATGGATTGCACGATAGCTTTCATAAAGGCTACCGGCCTCCTGATATAAGTTTTCTGACAGAAGGATCGAAGAAGAAGAGAAGAAGAAGAAGGACAAGGTACACAACGGAGATCACTCCCCGCACCAAGCTGGCGACGCTGCTTTGTTTTCATGACTATTAAAGTTAAAAATTCGGATTATTACAACTATTATCAGCCTTAAAACTGCTTGTTACCCCCTCCCCCCCCCCCCCCACACTTTTTTTTTAAAAACTCCCTCACGACACCAGCAATCCCCCCTCCCCCTCCCCCAATATTCCCTGCCCCTCGCCCCTCTTTTGGGAGACCACAGATCTAGACAGAAGATGCTAAACAAATCGACATCGTAGTCTGGAGAAACATATGTATCAGGAATAATTGAATCATAAATAAGACAAGAGGCTGTGAACAAATGTAACGATCATCGCCAAATGGAATAGTCCACTCGAAAAGAATAACACATTAAGAGACTCTAACCAGATGGCCGGATGGCGTTGCCAAACAGCGTGACCTGGCATCAACTGACGCCAACTCGGCCGATGCCGACCCAAGCGTTGAAAGGATAGAATTGCTGCAAAAGCCATTACTCGATCATTATTGTATACGATGGCACATTAACTGTGTAATTAGATTTTTCCAGCATCCACGCTCCTATGTTGTTTGTGCATTGATTGAGATTAACATCTTTCTCTTATTCTCTGTTTATTTTCCCTTTTTTCATGGGATATTTCTTTCTGTCGTTCGCTTCCTATCTTGTCTTTCCTCTTTGATTTTATCATTACTTTCCTCGCATGTTTTACTTTTCTTGCTGTGTTTCTGTCTACCTTTCCCTTTCCTTAATGTTTTCCGTTTTTCTTGCAGTATTTCTTTCTATCTGTAACAGTCTGGTAGGATAAGATTAGCCTGTTAATAATTTGGGTTTGACTACACTTGCGAACTAAAGCACGCGGGTTTGCAGATCGGGACTGTCCGGAAACAAATGAGTAGAAAAGTTGATATAAGAACTTGCGCAGCATAAAAGTCTCTCTTTGCTCTTGGTCTTAACTGTCGCCCTAAGGACATCTAGTCCTCCTGAGTTGAGTTGAGTCAGGAATTGACTCGGGGAATTCCCATGCATGCTCTGTCGTCATCTTCAGCAGCACGCGTAGATTTCCAATACTGATGGTACCGGTCACAAACTGGTTATATGTCCGTCTGGCCTTTCCTCTGAGTGTAGTGAGCCGGCCGGACCCTCTGGTTACACCCAGGTGTCTCATTCTCTCCAGACATGTTGTCCTTCTATCGTTGTGGAAGTGTACAGAGTTCTCAGCGCGACCTAGGTACGGCGGATTGAGTGGAGAGAGGTGAACTGGGTTTGTGTTTGGAGGAACGTTCAGTAGCTAGATTGTGTTAGATCAGTTGCTCTCAACCTTCCTAATGCCGCAAACCTTCAGTACAGTCCCTCATGTTGTGGTGACACCCAACCATACAATTATTTTCGTTGCTACTTCATAAGTTCAGTGAATATGTGTTTTTCGATAATCTTAAGCGACACCCGTGAAAGGGTCGTTCGACCCCACAGAAGTGTCGCGACTTACAGGCTGGGAACCACTGTTTTAGAGCTAGATTTTAGTAGCACATGGTCTGTTCAAACTCCTTGTACATTGTTAACGTATTATTACCTGCGAAGACGCTAATTTTGTGTTCAGGAAATTAAACAGATATTGAATGTGATTATTATATTCTATTCATTTGATTTAGAATATGACTTTTCGTGAACCTGGTCACTAGGGGCTGCCTAGATAGTTATATGTTGTAGTTGTTGTGTAATGTCCTACTCACATATCTATCGCCTGAGTCAAGTGTAATATGTCATGACTCCTGTACTATTAAGCTATAGAAATCCATACGTCCTTTTTAGGATGTAATTTTTTGTTTGTTTGAAGCCCCACCCTGGCTTTTGCCAGGGGCCGCAATATAGGCAGGCCATTAATATGGCCAATTGTCTAAACGCGGCTTCTGGGACCTCCACGGTGATCCTCATCCACATGGTGGCACTTTGTGTCATCGGGTGTTTATCGCTTGTGTGATGTCCTAGTGGGGTAGAAAGTCAAGTCAAGTCTCCTGCACCAAAAGAACACTTGTCTTTTTAAATTTTAAATTTTATCTTTTTAAAATGTTTGCAGTTCAGAAAGGAACTACTCATTGTCCTAAGCATATTTTTTTGCTCGTCTCCCTTCTTGTTATATTTCCTTTTCTCTTCCCGCTAGCCTATATCTTTTACTTTTTCTTTTTTAATTTCTTTTTTTCATGGGGTATTTCCATCTAGCTTTACCTTCCTCATTTCCTAATTTCCTAATTTTCTCACGTTGACATGTTTGTCCGCCCGTAGAAGCTTCAGCTTCTATTTTTCTAATGAGAAAGATACCTAACAGAGAAAGTAGAGCTTTTTTTTTTTTGCCCTTTGGAAA